ACAGTTGCGCTGTACGTGGGGTTTGGGATCCCCGGTATCACTGGTATACCTCCCTTATGTCGGTTAGACAGTGGCAGCGATTTTCCTAATGTTTTCAATGTTTAATATATTAATACCGGTAATAGTTTTTAACATTTTAGTTTATAACATGGTATATTAGAATACAAACCCGGATGGTTCTTCATTATATGAGCTTTCCTTTTGGAACTCGATTTATATACTTTGTCACAATATTGACAGTAATAATCACGTGTTGTCTGAATATTAAACAACGATTAAGTTTTGACAACAAAATATTTGTTAATTTAATTACCTTAAGTATGGGTAGATTGAGCTCCGGTACGGTATCGGGCGGTATATCTGGATGTCTTTTAGCCAAATGGTTGACAAGCATTCCCCGGCGTTTAAACCCTGTATTTAGTGAACAAAAGCGTTTACTAAACCAAATATATCATACGCTGTCATAAAGTTATATACCGAGCAAACATGTGTGACATTTATATATGAATCTGTGGTAATCAGTTGGCGATACTTTCGGTATAAACTTCTTGTGCTGTTGACTCAACTGTTGTGCTTGTTTTGCCGCTTGTTTTGCTGTTTTAGCAAATATTTAATATTCAATTCATTATAAAAAAAAAGCAGTTATAACTTATAAGACAAGAGTGAATCACTCAATAACATACCGGCGAGTTTGGCCTCTCTGTCGGGCGCATGCATTCTCTGCATGTGTTCTTTGAGTTTGTCTTTACGCTTGAATTGTTTGCCACAATTGGCGCACAGGAACTCGCGGTGATCGCTGTGTCTTAACATATGTAACTTCAATTTGTCAGGTCGTGGAAAGACCTGATTCGTAGACAAATACAGTATTAGCACACATTCGGGAACCTAACAGTTGTCATAGACTTACTTTCTCGCATTGAGTGCACGGGTATTGTTTGTCTGAATGAAAAGCTCGGATATGTTTTCTAACCGCTGAAAACTCGTCAAATCCCTAATAAAACGACCAATAATTTAAAAATGCTTTGCCTTTAAATTTAGTTTGAAATAAAAATATACTTTTTGACAATTAGGACAATTAAACTGTCCAGTGATTGGATTGATGTGGTTTACGATATGGTCTTTCCTGAGTTGTGGCGAATCATTGGTAACGAATGTATATTGTGTTAGTATAGAAGCGCCGACTAGAGAGCCACATGATTTATATGTCGTTAATCTTTCATTCAGTGTTTAATTGTATTTTATCGTTAGCTAACTAATGGACACCTAAAACAAGTGACACGAAAGGGCAGAATTGTTGAGAAATCTCTTCTGACAGATAGCACAGGCCAATGGCTTTACTTCTTCATCTAGTCACAAATTAACATAAAATAGCAATCGATTGATTACCTGTGGATTTTCAAGTGACACGAAAGGGCAGAATTGTTGAGAAATCTCTTCTGACAGATAGCACAGGCCAATGGCTTTACTTCTTCATCGCTCGAGTGGACGATCGCATGTCTTATCAATCGGTCGTCAGTGGAGAAGCACTTATAGCACTGATGACAACGATATGGTTTGTTCGGGTTATTTGTACTCTTAGGAGCACTCTTTCGGGCCACAGTCAGACTCGCTGATGGTTTCATCTGACCATCATTTGTATAGGTGTTGCTCTTCTTTGCCACGGGTTCTGTCTTAAGGCTCTGATTTTGATCATTAGTTTCGGTTAAACTTAAAGCAGACTTTTTATTAGTGACCGCTTTCTGGTGTTTCTTCGCGTGACGGTTCCGGTTATACACGTGACTGAAAGACATGCCACAGACGGGACACTTATATTTCTTCTCTCCTGAATGCATGATCTGATGCCTTCGTAGGCTATAAAAGCGGGGAAATATCTTCTGACACGTCTCGCACTGGTATTTGGGCGGAGCTGTAGTGTCCTTCGGCTGACCAGAAGACCCGTTAGCATCGGTCTGACTACTGCTTTGTTGTGTGTCTAGCGTTTGTTGCTGTTGTTGTTGGAGTTGTTGCTGTTGTAGTGTTTTGGCGATTTTGTTTCTAAGTTTGTGTCCACCGGTGGTCAGGATATCGATCGGGTTTGGAGTGCTTTTCTGTACGATAGCTTCGGCGACGCTTTGTTCATCGGTATCGGCTATAATGAGCGGTCCCTCTAAGGCTTTCAGATTGTATTTGTCGGCGTATTCTCGAGAGTACCACACTTTAAGCTCTTCTCTCGCATATATAGCTCTTGTGGTTAAGAAAAAGAATTTGATTTCGATTTCATTTGCCGACACATTTTCCTTAGCGATTAGCGACAGATTCTGTTCCTCATAAGTATTGGCCGAACGAACAAATTTCATCCAATTTGACTGATTTTCGTCACTTTGATCTAAAATCAAATCCTCTGTTATGAAGATCATTAGGTTGTGGTTTAAGTTGTGAACATTGGAGTGATTGTGTCCAACAATGACACCCTCGACGGGACCGAATTGAGTCCTCTTCGGTATTGTCTTTTTGGCGAACACACCGAAAACGGTGGCAGAATTGTCCGGCTCTTCGATGTATAGATATTCAGCGGGCAGTGAAGCTCTGGCTCTACTAAGAACTGGGAGATCACTGATGACATGTTCCTGAGGTATATCCATCTCAATGGGCAATGGGTTGGGGTTATGCTGAGCGACCACCGCCTC